AAATAAAATTTTATTTTCTATCCTTTCAAGACTATATGTGTAGAATAAAAACTACCGAATATAAGACAAAATATTTTTACATATACTGTCATCTGTCTGAGACGTGTCTGGCATCACTAACCAAAAAAAAAAAACTTTAAAATAACCAAGGGTAGATTTGCTGCTAGTATCTCTGTAGATTTTATCCAAAATACACAAAAAAAAAAAAAAAACAAAAAAAACACAAATAGACGATTTGTTTTTGTCTTAAATGTATTCAAAACATTTGAAATACTTTTGCACTCTCACCTTGATAGGGTATACAAATTTTGTTATTAGATTTGTAAAGCATTAGCGATTAGCTCCCAGTTTCGTTTTTATCCGGCCCAATCGGCCGGGTCGGCCTATCCGCAGCATGAGAATCTCGGTGACTTACACCGAAGCGAAATTTAAAGTAAATGCTATGAAGATATTTACAATGCTTGTGTGGTATAGCATGTTTAACAATTGGATCGAAACTGAACACAATCTCTCTCTGGCTTTTAAATCTATATGTACAGCTCAGTCTATCACCCTTTACGTTGTGATGTTAAGTCTTATTAACACTTTTTATTCGCTTTTTTTTTCTAATTTTTTATAATAAGGAATTTATTTAAAATAAATTTTATTATACTTACGTGCGGAACTTGGGGGATGATTGCCTTTTTACGCAACGTCGGAATACGAAAATATGTAAAACGAGCAAACTTGTATTTAAAGTTGATATAAAAGCCATGAGAATCACTTTAAGATATATTTTCTAACCAAAATGGGATGAACAATAATTAGTGAGAACACATAGCATACATTCGTTCGCATTTATATTTGATTAGTCATGGAATTCCTCTACAGAGGAAAGAGTTGAAAATGGCGAATCGCGCCTGAAAGTTGACTTATAATTATCTCATGTAAAAACAGTTGATCGTGGAATGAATCTTGGTCATCCGGCTGTTGTATGCAATATTGACCGGAATTTCATAACAACTTGTAGAGCAGAACCACTTTAGACCTGATCTTTTCAAGTATGCGCTTGTGTTCATGGTCGCTCTATTTAAATTTTCAAGCTCAAGCGTAAGCTTTCTGTTGCAATTTTTTTAAATCTCCATTAACAGATCGAGAGTAATTTCAATAATTCACTTATTAATCTAAATCCATTTAATCATCAATCATCAATTTAGTTGTCAATCTGTCCATTTAAGTCTCAAATTAACAAAGATGGATATAAACATTTAAAACTGTTCATATGTTAAGTTTGAGAATGGGCGGAGTCTCTAAACGGCATAGCTGAAAAGAATGACCTTAGAGATGCCGATACTTATACTTTCTATAGAAGGCAGCAAGGCGTGATACCAAACTCATTTGATGTATGAATGTAAAAATCGTGTCTAGGATAAGAAACTATTTTAGGATATATATTAAAAAGATTCTTCCTAAGGCGTATATCATAAGGCGTATCACATTTCACTTTCTTTCCCTTCGGAAAGTTCTTCTATTGCCGCATGTGCTGCGTCGTGTAAGCTTGGGCGGAACTCTTGTCTGCGTGTTTTGATGGAGGCTCATCTTCTGGTATTTTTTATTTTCCTAAATACGTTCGATGATAGCTTGTCCGCTCTCCACCGCCTTTCTCGGCAATCTACCCTTTCATTTACGCTGTGGCGTAAGTTCATCAAACACAGTTTTGCTCTCCGCTTAGGAATTTCGCATAAAGTGTCCTGGCAACTAATATCTCAGTTCTGTTACATAAAATTCTTAATATAGGACTAAGTGAATATCTGTTTCCAACATGTTTGTTTCTTAGCTAAATTAAAAATCATTTTCATCGACTATTCTCGTTTCGTTTTAAAAATAATGTATAAAAATTGACTCGGCATTAAGAAGTCACAATTTTTGATGACTTTTTTAAAACAATTGAAACGTCTTCGATTGTTGACCTTAAGATCTTCATTTAAGCGAAATAATTGGTATACACTTTGGTTGCCGAATAACTTTCAGAAGAAATTCATCAGAGCAAAAAGTGTTCAAAGGTTCGTGAAATCATTTAACTAAAGGACTTGCAGCTTGGAGCTATGATACTATGATTTTTTAGCATAGAGACAATACAAATAAATACCATATATATACGTCTATATAAATCGTCAGAAATATTTAAATTGAATTGCAATAAATGAGAATGTTTTTGAATTTGAAATTGAAATAGAACTGAAGAAGAATTGCAAAAGGATTGAATTAAAGCTGAATTTCATTTGGACTATAACGAAATCGAAAGTGATTTAATATTAAATTGAATTCATCTCGTGCTCGTTAAAGGAAAGAAGAATCCGTAAGGACATATCTGTACTACATAAGTTCTTGCATTCGCATCTAAAGAAGATAACCGAAAATGCAACTTAAACGGCTTATGTGAAAAGTTCTCAACCAACTTGCGATGGTAACTCGACTTAAATGTAAGAATTTCCAAAGGGCCGTCCGGCGATTGTTTGAACTTTCGTCACAGAGACAATTGAGTTTTGGGGACTAACGACGAGCTTAATGAAATCTAAATCCGGATGTGAATTGTTTACGACCACGTTTACAGAAAAACTGAGTAAATGCAAATACGTAAATATTTTTATCAGAAACTTTTGAATTATATTTTTTGAAGAACAAACGTAGAAAAGTTTTGCAATTACCATGGTAGTGAATTCGCATCCCATTTAATTCGCATCCCGCAAACCTAATGTAAATTTCTTGGTCATGGCTTCTCCCTTCTCGTTTAATTTTTATGATAATTCTCGGAAAATATGTAAGAATTTTGCTAAAAACTTAACGACACGAAAATAAAGCTGAATAAAGCATATTCAGTGCTTACTTGCATTTTATAATTATAATAAAAAATTTATGACCTTAACATATGTCTATAGATGTCATAAAACTCATGTAAGTTAGAAAAGAAAACCGTATTTAACCGCATATATAAAAAAATTGGGTTTGTTTTTTTTTTTTTTTTTTTTTTTCTTTTAAATACCACAAACCATAAAAGTTTCATGGACTTGAGAAAATATCTCGATACTAAGGGAAACATGTTGCTATTCCGTTAAATGCACACGTATAACGCAACCATCAGTTTGTTTTCCCACTTCCTTTTAAAACTAAAGCGAGAACGGAAAGAAGAAGAAAGAGAAACGCAAAAAAGGAAAAAAAAAGAAAAAAAAAAAGCAAAAAATAGGCTGAGACACGCATTACTTTTACTTTTCAGAAATTTATTTTCAAGTATCATTATCATCTTTTTTTGTGCCGTTTTTACTTTCGTTACACTGGTACGATTTGTGGAAATACATTTTTTTTCCTTCTACTTTTATTACTATTGAAATTCTTAACACGTCGTTCTGTGATGTGGGTGGGTTTGTAATAACATCTTGTCAGCTCATGATGACAATGGTGATGGTGACGGAACGTGTCAGATGTTTCGATATCATATGGAAGTAGACTACTCCGGGATCCTTTATTTTTTTATGGAAATGTTCACAAAAAATGTAATTCAAGAATAACATTTTTATGTCCCAAAAGTAGGCAATCGTCAATATTTAATTTATCATAATTATTTTATGAAATATACTTTTAAAGAAAAGCTAAAAGACTAAACAATGTTTTAGCAAATTTTTCAAACTTTAAAAATCGTCCATTTTTTTTTTTTGTTTTTGTAACTTAATTTTTTGTGTTCGATTTTTTTTTCGTCTTTTAATAATTTGTTTCAATTTTGTTGTAAAGCAAGTGGAGAGTATCTAATCAAATAAATTATGTAAGAAGGAAAAGTTGAAAGAGTTTTGTTATTTTGCTTTCATTCTACGTAAAAGTAAAAGACGCAAAAATGTTGAAAAGTTTGACGGTAAAGTTATGACATATTTCATCGTTTGTGATGTTAATTACGAAGACCATAAATTTGAACTTAATTAGTTTTATGGCGTTGCAAAACAAGTAAATACTTGCTTTAAACAATTCGTCATTGTAGGTAGATAAAGTTTTTACTTTAATTCTTCGCCCCAAGATAGACTACATTTTAAATAGCATCATACACTTATGAATAATTATCGTAAATATTACATAATGAAATACTGCTCTGACAGCAAAGATTTATACATAGAAAGAGTTCTGATTTTTGTTTTTGATGTTAGATTAACGTCTCTTTCCTGCTTTCATGCGAGCATTATATCGAAGCAAATGACATTTGCGTTCTCCTTGACAGGGGTCTAGAAACGGCTAGAACATTCATCGTCTTTAACGTCTTGATGGTTTTTGTTTTTTTACCAATCTATATACACATCTCTGCGAAGGATGCGGCAAGGGAATTTTCGATTCCATTTTCGAGCCAAGATGTGATGCAACATTTTTACTACATCTTTGCTGCAAATATTCCACGCGACTTCAAAGAAAAAATCTTACAGCTCTTTGATGACAGAGTTGTAATAAAATTTCATAAAAACAATATCTACCACATAGTCGAGTAGATAAGGATTGCGACTATTAAGCCGATGTTCGCGTGTTCAAAGCACAGTGCGGTTTGTCCATACTTCGTTGTAGCCACACGTTGTGGTGACGGCGCTTAATCGGCAAATACATAACTCTTACCAATTTAGGTGCATACCCTAGTGGTTGCCCAATTCTTCCTTATCAGCGCAGCGTTTACGCGTATAAGGGTCATCTTCCGAATGACTGATATAAAAAAAAAAAAAACGCAATTGACTTAAGCGGATTTCATTCGAGACTAAATTAAACCTTCTAATGCTACATCATAATAATAGTGGATTATGATTAAAGCTCGTAGTTTTGATCTGCTTTTTATAATTCCTTCTTTCAGAGGATTAAATCATCTGAAAAGTTGTGGTTAAGTGTGCCTTTCCGCCTTGCAAAGATTTTAAATGCATAAATACGAGACTAAAATCAATTATCACTTTCGACACTTTAGCGTTTGTCCATTTCCGAAGCGGCTC